GAACGCGGCCATTGTAGCGGAGGCTTTACAACAGCTTTTGACAGATCGTACAGTCCGAAAAACCGAACACGCGTCTCACGTGACGAAGTTTAATAAATGTCAAATTTTGCACGGTGAGACGCAACGCTCGAAAATGGAAAACGATAATCCGGTCATATATGGACTCGAATTCCAAGTATGAAACTACCAAAGTTAGCTATTCTAAACCGTCCGGTAAATGCCAGCGGCGATATCGTGTCAATATTACAATTTTCTACTCAACAATGTGACTGCCATTTACAACGCGTGCTACGCTATCCTCGTTGAGTGGGTAATTGTAACATTGATGCAATGTCGCTTTTAAGCGATGTTTACTGGACAGTGAACTTTCTTTCACATTACTCGATGCTGTCGCTAAGTAACATTGATTTTCTATTGCCGTTTAACCTTTTCATGACCACTGCAACGCGCAAGTTCCGCTTATAAGATTTAGCCCGGTTTCACCACACGTCGCGTAACTTTAATCTTAGTTCAATCCGTGTTTGTCACATTCTGAAGTAACAGTTGGAAAGAAACAGAACGAATTAAGCTAAGCTTAAAGTTAAACAACGTTGACACCGGACCTTAAAAGTTCCCTGACTTGGGTCCGGTTTAATCAAAATTGTTTAACTTTAAGCTTAGCTTAATTTGTTCTTTGTTTCTTTCAAATTGTTACTTTAGAGAGAGACAAACGTGAATTAAACTAAGACTAAAGTTAAGCAACGTTTGGTGAAACCGGGCCGCAGGTTGCGGTCAAGCCGCTGCTACAAATGCTTCGAAGTGTCTCTCTTGTCCTTCTATCTTTTCTGAAAGAAAGGATTGGACCGGGACCCATTAACTATACTAATAATAATGAAAGAAAGGAGAAGAAGAATACTTTGGCATATTTCAAGCAACAGCCCAGCTACGCGCATTCACCAGGAAGACGTCAACAGAAACAAAATAACTTGGTCATGAAAAGGTCTAAATGTCTACTTTTGCCACTTGTCCCGCGTTGCTGTAGGAACTTTAATAAATCACGCGGGAGATAAACGTAATGCTGTTTTACGTTTTAGACCAGGGCACTGTCTGCCCAGACGGCCGAGACGGACATCGTGAGATTCTTGGTGGGGACTCAGTCTTTAAAATTCAGCAACAACCAGGTTCACTTGGTGGAGCTCAACGAGGAAACTGGCAACTTGAAGACGCAGGTGTTTCAGCATCCAGTAGGAGAAATCTGGTCCTTACAAGCTTCTCCGACTGAACCTAACATATTTATCACATGTTACAACAGCTTGAGTGGTAAGTGGGCCTTTTCCATCCATTCAATTTGCTAAAGTAATGTCGTTTGGCTGTTGAAGCTGAAGTGAATTGTGAATTGTCAACAATTATATATTTTGTGGCGTAAAATGTATCTTCTAATGGAGCCGTTATTTTGTTTTTAGAGGAAGGTACCTGCCGGATGAAAGGGGCCATCTGGAGATTTCCCGAGATAAAAGAGTACACCAACGACGTTCTGCAACTCGACCAGCTAGCCGATATTGATACGACTCCGTATGGCACTGATCTCAAGACGATCGCCTATCATCCTATGGATAGCAAGAGGGCTGTGTCAGTGGTGGATAATAATTTTGTTCTGTGGGATCTGGCTGAAGGACCTCAGGTTATTATAATCTCTTGAAATAACCCGGAGCGCTCTGCCAACATCAAATTCATCTTTGTCGTTTCTACTACTCTTTTATGCCCGTTTCCACCAATGCAGATTAACTTTGATCTCGGTTTAACTTACTTTCTCTCTTCTTCTAGTCTCAGGAGTTGGACAAGGATAAAGACTGATAGCGAATTCGGCAGCTGTGCGCACTGAGTGCAACACTAAAGCTTGTTTACAGTCAATTTTTGTATTAAAGAATCGTCTTAAATATTTATTGAAATATTTCATAGCCAGTAAAATGATCTGTATAGCATTCATACCAATCATTTTTTGGCAAAATCTCTTTGAACACGTATTTAAGATAAAGTTAAATATAAAAAAGCCTATAAACTAGCCTTAGTGTGCGCTTAGCGCGCACTAGTGCAAACAATCAAATTCACTGTTAGTTAAACTGGGATTAAAGTTAATCTGCATTGGCAGAATTGACGTTAATAATTTACACCTTTTTTAAATATTATCCAGGTTATGATATCAGGCAATCTAGCAGGCAAGGGTCAGCCACGGTTTACGAACGGTAAATGGAATCCTCACAACGGTGCCAATCAGTTTGTCACCTTGAATGATAACAACGTTCGCGGATGGGATTTTCGAAGTCCGGCCAATGCCGCTTGGTCCATTCTATCTGCGCATTCACAAATCATCAGGTAACAAGGACGTTTCACTCTCGATAGAGAGCTCAACTAATCGCTCCGCATAACCCGTTCCTCAGAGACTTGGATTTCAACGCAAATCGCCAGTATTTTCTATCCACTTGCGGCGACGACGGATACATGAAGTTCTGGGATATCCGACTGCCGACAGAACCGGTGCTGTCGCGCATGGAGCATTCGCACTGGGTATGGAATATACGGATCAATCGTTTCCACGATCAGCTCGTTCTAACGTCCAGCAGCGACTCCCGAGTGATATTGTGCAGTATAGCGTCCATATCGTCGGAACCGTTCGGACATATGGTGTCGGCGGAAGACGAGACGTCGCAGAGCGAAGAGTCTTGCGGGAAGAAAAAGTAAATATATCGGGCAACAATACTCTCTTAACCAATTTACACGCGAAATTCAATATTTCGTACACTCGTAACGTTCTAGATTGGAAGACGGTCTGGTAGGAAGGTACGAGGAGCATGAAGACAGTGTGTACGCAGTGGAGTGGTCGTCCGCCGACCCCTGGACATTCGCGTCTCTCAGTTACGACGGCAGATTAGTCCTGAATAAAGTACCGCGGAAATATAAATATCAAATACTTCTGTGAATCCACCGATACTAGAAGATGACCGAGAGATGAAAAAGCGGAAGTAAAATTGTTTCTTGTATATTTAATGTTGTACCTATGCGATATGTCACGTACAATATTAAGTACAACACTGTATATATGTGCATATGTGTTATAATAGCAAGTATATAAAATAATTTCTTAATTGTACACGAGGATACATATTTATACAAGTACGTATATATACATTATAAACAAATGGAACATACATATAAACAAATGGAACATGACTACTAGAATTGATCCGACACCTTGGTAGCCATGTTCCTTAACTGCCCATAAACTTTTGAGGGTGGGCTGCCTAATATCAAGTTACATATTGCTCTGCGAGCCAGTTGAATATTTTGAAAGGAACCGAGAATGTGTATTTTTGTTTCCGCTAATACAATTCTCGTTTTCGTTACGTTTTCGATGGTGAATTTAGTTCTTCCGCCCTTGCCCGCCAGTCTGCCGATCGCCCGAGACTGGTGATCCCCTTTTATCCGCTGTTTGACGTCCTGTATCTCAAAGGACTCGACGAACAAGTCGTCCAGGCGCAGCAGCGCCAAAGCATCCTCCACCTCAAATCCACAGATGAATGCTTTGACAAAATCTGCTGCTTTTTGCAGATACGACATGTCCGAAGTCTCTGGTGATGTTCTTATTTCTACATTCCTGGTTTTTAAATTGAAGCGGATCTGTAGTTTCAGATGTTCGGTGATGGGTGTAAATATCTTGATCCAATTCTCCTTCAAAGGTGAGTACCTATGCGCTGGCACCGGTATCTACCGACGAAAATAATATGCATTAAAATCAAATTGCCCTACATATTATAGATTTTGTATTATATTATTATACGTATATCGTCTTACCTTCCTTTGTTCTCCATCATGTACTCTAGCAATCTTGTTGGCCGGCTGCTTTACTATTCCTTTTGTTTCATCAACCATTCCCACCTGAGAAAAGAACAACCTTTGTTAGTCACTACACGTGCATTTCCGCCATTGTGATCTTCCTCGCTGTAGATCACGCATTCCATCGTGTCTGACTTGCGACCGGAATTTGACCGAACGCGGACTCTAGGCAATAATACTTTCCTATTGTGTGATAGGCTTTATGCGTGGTCTACAATGCGGTTCGCAGAGTCGTAGTCGTACGAATAATCGACTGCGATTGGTGCAATTTCGTCAGACATATAAGAATTGACCAATCATAGGTTGCGGTCAAGCTGCCGCTACAAATGCTCCCAAGTATTTCTCTTCTCTTTCTATCTTTGCCGAAAGAAAAGAGAAAAAGAGTGCTTGGAAGTATTTGAAGCGACAACTTGACCGCAGCCATAGTCGACTATTCTTACGACTACGACTTTACGACTTCTATACAGACGAGGCTTGAGCCGACTGGGCCACGATGAACCGGTAGACGTTGCAGAATTATAGACGATTAATTGGTGGTATTATACAATGCAGGGGCCCCGACTATCGGGTCTCGCGCGGGACGATGCAACCCCACGGGATCAAAAATTTTTCTTCTAGGTTAGAAGACGCGTTGTACGCGCCACGTGCCAAACGGAACTCTCGGAAGTCTCAGACCGCCGACCGATTAGCGCGTTACGCAAAGACGCTCTTGAAGGGTCGGCTAATGAGACCGGCGCGGAACAAACGTTTTCGCGATCGCAGAACCGAAGGCAAGGGCGTGATTAGCTGGGTAAATCGCGCGACTCTATCGTCGAGTAGGGCTAAGACACGAATTACTCGTCACGTTGGCCACGCGACCGGCTAAGAATCGAGACGCGACTTGCCGCGTCGGGTGACAACAGATTGCACGGCGATGTCGAATAGCGATCCGATTCTAAACAATTATGATTTAAACTAGGATCGAAGTTAAACGACGTTGGTAAAACCGGGGTTAATCCAAGCACATACCTCCATGTGATCATCGTCAGCACGGCGTTTCTTCAACGTCTTCACTACCTCGGTCTCCGTCGGAGGCTGATGTTGACACGCAATGCTCATCTCTCGCGCGGTTCTCTCCCTTTTTACGAATATCCAAATATCTCGCTAAGACTAATCCGTCCTGTATCGCCGGGTGACTCGCACGTGCATCCACGATGACAGTCAGAGCGAAATGGACATCTCTTTGCTCAGCTTCTCTGCACAGTGCACGCTGCACTGGCTGCACTGCACAGTGCACGGCGGCCGAGCGCGTGGAGGGGGTAGAGTGGGATGGGGGTTAGCCTTAAGCCTCCGCTACAATGATTCTCGGTTCTGTCTACAATGGTCGTAGTCGTAAAAATAATCGACTGCGATTGGTCAATTCTTATCGAGCGACTACGACTACGACCATTGTAGACACAACTAAGAATCATTGTAGCGGAGGCTTTAAGCCTCCGCTACAATGATTCTCGGTTCTGTCTACAATGCGAGTCGCAGAGTCGTAGTCGTAAGAATAATCGACTGCGATTGGTCAATTCTTACTTTGCGACTGCTCAAGCGACCATCGATACAACTGTACGACCATTGTAGACAGAACCGAGAATCATTGTAGCGGAGGCTTTAAGCGTCGTCTACAATAGGTGGAGTAAGCTTGGCGTAAGAAGTAAGAGTAGGAGTAAAGAAATGGATCATTTCCATTTCCTACTCCTACTTCAGCTCTGACGCTTACTCGCGGCGAATTAAAGCGTAGTTCGACCAGTGTTACAAATATTTAAA